ACACTGGTTTTTCTGGGAGAAACCCGAATACACTGCGTGTCACCCGCTCCACCCTGGGATCTAAGCTCAAGTCCCTCTGAACCCCTTCCTGGCTGCTGCCCACCCCCAGCCCCAGCCCCCTCCGGCTGGCCTGGCAGCCAGCCCCCCCCCCCCCCAGTTTCAGGAGACTGGCCCGCCCTCCATCCGTCCCAGAGAATAAACAGCCTCCAGCCTCCCTCCTGCAGCCTCCGCCTCCGCGGGGGCCCAGGCGGGTCCTCAGCGCACCCCCTGTGCGCCACACCAGGGCAGAGCGGCCTGAGAGGACCAGCGAGGAGCGACCTGGCCCCTCGCTCTGCCTGCACGCCTAGGGCAGCCCCGAGTTTGTCACCTCCGCAGTCTGACGCGGGCTGGGGAGGACCCCGTCCGTGTTGGAGTTTGGCCACCCTCTCCGGTTTGCTGTTGTCACCACCATCAGGACTTGAGTGTCACACGCTCTGGCCAGATGCACCCCCCCCCCCAGACCTGACCCGCCAGCCTGCCCAGGGTATTCCCTCTGCACATTCCTGACTCATTCTCAAAATCCAGGCCAAAGCCCAGAGGCCTCTTCCTCAAGGAGGCCATCCGTGACTACCCCCCCTCCACCGCCACTTAGAGTGACCACACCCGCCTTCCCCTTCGTCACTCCATCTCCTCACCTTTGTTTTCTTTCCTCCAGAGAACTTTCCACAGTCTAAGAGCCTTATTCATGTATGTGCCTACCTGTTTGTACCTCCTGTGTCCCCCCACACCCGCTAACAAGGGCAGGGGCTTTGTCTGTGCAGCACTCAGAACACTATTGGCACAAAATAGGTGCTTAAGTATTTGCTACTCCATGACTTTGGCACTTTGCGTGTGTTACTCTGAACGCTTACAAGGTCATCCCTTGCCCCATTGTCCTAGGAAAACTCCTATTCATCCTTCAGAACCCTGTCCAGTCATCACTTGCCCAGGGAAAGCTGCTTTGACTGGCTCACACGTCCACTATGAGGCTGAAATCAGGGCCCCCGCAGGGGACAGGCAGAGCCCTGTGCACAAGAGAGTGGAGTCCAATCCCCCAGTTAGACTCTTCTTCAGGGCAGAGCGGGGCGCACACTGGGTCTCAGGAACCATTCATCAAATGAATAAGTGAAGTAACACACATGTAATTAAATACAGTTTCCTGAGACCCAGCTCCCAACTCTTTTATATCTGCCAAAAGCCTGTCCCACCTCGCACTTCCTGTGACTGGCCCCCAACAACATGCTTTTCTAGGAATTCACCCTCAAACCCTATAGTTGGGGAGTGGGGGTGGGCCTGTGTGCAAGGAGGGGAGGTTGAGGAAACAGATGGGGTGCTTTTAGATATGACAACGGGGGAGCTTGGCTGATCAAGCCCCAGTGGGGAATTCCGGATGGTGCCTGGGTCCCCCCCGCAACCCAGAGAGTGAATAATCCCGTCCCCAATGACAGAGCTATCGCAAACTCAGACCCATATAGTCTTCCGAGCTCACTTCACGAAAGGCGCCGACCCTATGGACAGCAAGGGATTGGAACGGGTTCTTAGGTGGCTGGTTCCCTTGGTGCGTTTCCAGGGTTCACTGCCTCCGCCCAGGACTTACTGAGTCAGACTGTGCAGGGGTGGGAGCCTCCGCTGGTATTTGGAAGCCACTTGCTAGGGTTTAAAGAGAGGGAGGGGCCTCCTTTGCGGCCAGAGAAGGAGGAAGGAGGCCCTGGACCCAGAACTAGGGTGGAGGCTCTGGTTTCGGTCTCACCTCACTGGCTGCTCCAGACCTCAGAGACCTGAAGGCAGGGACTGGGGCACCTGTGCTGAGCCCTGCCTCCTCCCTCAGACCCCGCAGTCCAGGCCCCAGGGCCCTCCTCCCTCAGACCCAGGAGTCCAGGCCCCCGGGCCCTCCTCCCTCAGACCCAGGAGTCCAGGCCCCCGGCCCCTCCTCCCTCAGACCCAGGGGTCCAGGCCCCCGGCCCCTCCTCCCTCAGACCCAGGGGTCCAGGCCCCCGGCCCCTCCTCCCTTAGACCCTACAGCCCTGGCCCCTGGCCCCCATGAACTGCCTCTGTGAGGACACTTCTCTCCATCTGCACCTACACGTGAATAAAGGGCCGGGACTTACTCAGGTCTGTGTTTGTGTCACATGCCCAGGGCCACTGTGACCTTTGGCTAGTGGCCTCCCGGCTCTGAGCCTCTGTGTTCTCTGCCACTGGGCACCAATCCCAGCTCTGCCCGCCTCACAGAGGGCAAGGGGCCTGCTCCTCTACGCAGACCCCAACCCAGGCAGGACCAAGCTCAGGAAGTCTTTGTGGCATGGATGTGACAGGGACCAGGGTGACAGAAGCTGGGGACAGAAGCACAGGACCCTCCTGCCTTTCTCTGCACCCTCCCCTCCATGGCTCAGGCCTGGAACACGCCTCCCTCACCTAGGGCTGCCTAACTCGCCCTTCAGGTTCAGCTCTGCCTGCCCCTCCTCCTCCAGGAAGCCTGCCCTGACCCTTTAGCTGCCTCCTATCCCAGCACACAGGGAAGGCCACCGTCTCTGCCGGTGCTAACACTCAACCGAGCATCTCCTTGCCGGGTGCCGAGAGCTCTCTGGACCTCACTTAATGCTGCCAGTGCTGTGATCCCCATGTTACAGGTGTTGGGACTGGGGCACAGAGAGGTTAAGTGATTTGCTTAGCGTCACACAGCTAGCAAGGGGCAGAGCCACCAGGCGGCTGTGTAGGGTAGCCAGCGCCGGATGCAGGCTGTAGGTGAGACGGCCTGGGCTCGGCCATGCCCACCGTGTGCTCTGTGTGGCTGTAGACAAATCCTGAACGGGCATGTGTCCTTACTTCCTCAGGGTCCTTGGATGTTGTGTGCTCACACACACACACACACACACACACACACACACACTACTCAGAAGACAAGCACACCCGTGTCACGTATGAAGTAAGAAGTATTACCAGCTCTATTTCGTGGCAGAGTCACATCTGGAACCCCCACCCGCCGGGCTCTGCCGTCACACCGCACCACACCATCGTCTCCCTCTATTCTTTCATCCCCATAGACCCAGGGCCAAAGGGTGCTTTCTCGGGTTTCCAGCCTCACCCAGCGCACTGTGGGGTCAACACGGGCCCAAGAAAACAGTGAAGCGTCACCCGCACGATGCGCCCAGAGCCAGGGCCCCTCCAGCACCGCCTGTGTGCCAGACCCTGTCCTGATGTGCGGCAGACGGAGTGCAGGGCCCGACGCACAGAAGCCCGTGTCCTCTGGTCACGGGATGGCTCAGTCGCTTAAGCGTCCAACCTGGGCTCAGGTCATGATCTCACAGCTCCTGAGTTCAGTCCCCGTGCAGGGCTCTGTGCTGAAGGCAGAGCTGAATGTCTCTCTCTGCCCCTCCCTGGCTGTCTCTCTCTCAAAGTAAATTTAAAAATAAAGACATTAAAACAAGAAGTCTCTGTCCTCAAGATGCTTACATTCTTTTTTTTAATGTTTTATTTATTTCTAGGAGAGAGAGAGAGACAGCGTGAGCAGGGGAGGGTCAGAGAGAGAGGGAGTCACAGACTGAAACAGGCTCCAGGCTCTGAGCTGGCAGTCAGCACAGAGCCCGACGCGGGGCTCGAACCCACGAACCGCGAGATCATGACCTAAGCGAAAGTCGGACATTAACCGACTAAGCCACCCAGGCGCCCCAAGACGCTTACATTCTAACAGGGGAGACAAAAATCATTAAATAAACGGGTAATATAGTGCGTTATAAGGTGATAAATGCTCTGGAGGAAAATTAACCAGGCTGCGGGGAGAGACCACACAGAACAGGAGGGAAAGAAGAGCTACGATGTTAAACAGGGCAGCCAGGCCTCTCAGAAAAGGTGACATCTGAGCAAAGACCTGAAGGAGGTGAGGGAACCAGCCATGAGGAATCTGGGGGAAGAGGCATTCCAGGCAGAGGGCGCAGCAAGTGCAAAGGCCCTGGGGGAAAACTGGCTCTCAGTGCTCAAGGAGTAGCAAGGGGCCCCGTGTGCTGGGAGCGAGTGATGGAGGAGAGGAGGTTTGAATGCTGTCCGCTAAGACTTTGCAGACCTCATCTTTTATCCCATAAACAGGGGGACCCTGAAGGGTCCAGAGCACGGAGTGATGTGAGCTGACCTAGGTTTCTTCGGCCTCTCTGCATGCAGCCTAGATGAGCTGGGGAAGGGAGCAGGGCCGGATGCGAGGCTGCTGTGGGTGCGGGCGCAGGATGATGGAGGCACCAGGTGAAGGTCGCTGATCATGGAAAAGGCTAAAAGGGGGCATGCCCGCCCCTCCCCCTGCTCTCTGAGCTCGAGCTCCGGCTTCGGCCTTTGCTGCTCGCGTCCTCTCCCTGCAAGCGTGACCCCGGGTCTCTTCACCCTCGGTTCCCTCCTCTGGGGAGCAGAGACCCCCCAGCCCTCACCTCCCTCGGTCTGGCTCCTTTAGCAAGGGCCAGCCACGCACAGGGAAAGTTCTCTAAAGGAGAGCTCAAGCCTCAGGGGCTCGGTAACATCAGTGAAGTATTTGGAGCCGGGCCGGGCGCCGAGTGTGTTTGAGTCTCTTCAGAGGGGGTCACTGGGGGAAATTTCTAGAAGAAGAGGCCAAGGGAGGGGTGGCTAAGGGCTCCGTGGAGGCAGCAACCCTGGACAGGAGGTGTGTACGGGGCAGGCACTGACCGCGGCCCCCGGGCTGCGAATCCCAGCCCTTCCACACTGACCGCCCCCCTCTGAACCGCCAGCAGGTGAAATGGGAGCTCCGACCTCCCACAGGTGTCAGAACCGGGAAGGGTGTGTGAGGCAGAGCCCTGGGTTCTGACGTGTGGGTGAGTGTGACCTCAGATTCCTGCTGTTGGGACGGGGGCAGCCACAGCCCCTGGCTCCCGGAGGCCGGGCCGGTCCCCCCAGCCCCGCCCAGGTGTGCGCCAGCTGAGTGCTCAGGTATGCGGAGGCGGGGTGGCCAGGGAGCAGGAAGGACGGCCCGTTCGGAGCCCAGACGAGAGCAGAGTGAGCTGGGCCCCTCAGTGCCGCCACCACCTGAGAGAGCCTGACGGGCAGGTGAGGAGGGGCCCCAGCCACGGGGGGCCGGGGGCGGGCACTTCTGGGTGTGGGGGAGCAGGAGCAGGGGCCGGGACTCCCTTCCAGGCACCAGGAAGCCCTTGAGTCTTGAGGAGGTGGGGGGTGGGGGGGGAGAGAATGGCCCCATAGCCGGAGGTCATAGTGGCTGAGGAAATGCATGAACGGCTCTCTGGGAGGAGATGTGGGGTCAAAATCGTTTGGTTCTCACAGTTGAGAAGCTCTAAGCCTGAGCCCCTGGGCCCCTAAGGAGATAAGGTTGTGAGACAGGATCCCTGGAGAGGAAGGAAAATGGGATACACATAGATTAGAGGGCCAAACGCATGGATCCCCCGCAGACAGGGGGGGACAGGGCACCAGGTGTGACGGAGGAGGGGCCGGGGGCCTGGACTCCCGGGTCTGAGGGAGGAGGGGCCGGGGGTCAGGACTCCCGGGTCTGAGGGAGGAGGGGCCGGGGGTCTGGACTCCCGGGTCTGAGGGAGGAGGGGCCGGGGGTCAGGACTCCCGGGTCTGAGGGAGGAGGGGCCGGGGCCCTGGACCCCTGGGTCTGAGGGAGGAGGGGCTGGGGGTCAGGACTCCTGGGTCTGAGGGAGGAGGGGCCGGGGGTCAAGACTCCTGGGTCTGAGGGAGGAGGTGGTTGGCTCAAAACCCTAGGTACTGCAGGCCAGGTCAGGCCCTCACGTCTTTGCTGGCTCCCAGGCCACCTCCACGCGTCAGGAGCCCCCCATTCTCTGCACCATGAGCACCACCACGAGGTAAGTGTCCCCAGCGCCCTCCCGCCACCCTCTGACCCACGCCCACAGGCGGCAGGTACAGCAGCCCGGGCCGGACCCTGAACAGGACGCCTGAGCTGCCCCCTTCCCTGTTCGGCCTGTAGCCACAGCCCCAGAGCAGACACACCTGGGTTCAGATCCAGCTGCAAACACTCGGGGGTGGTGTGACCGCGGCCCAAGAACCTTGCCTCTTGGAGGCTCTGTTCTTCCTCCGTGAAACGGGGACAATTTTGAGAGCTTGACAGGAGAAGGAAGGTACAGGGCTCAGCAGATTCTCACCAAGAGCAGGTTCTCAACTCCTGGAAATGGCTACTGCTGTTATCTTGTTATTAAATATTGACCTTTTGCTGAAAACATCTGGGCTGTTTATAGTAAAGGCTCAAGTCTCCGGGGGTGAGCAGGGAAAGGAACAAAGGGAGACCCATGGGAATAGCTGCATGGGAGATACGAGGGAGTGAGCTCTCCAGCACAGAGGTAATCAAATTGTGGGGCAATCTGAGCAGCAGGAACAGGATCAGGAGCCAATGTTTGGCTTGAAAGTGCTGCTCACCCTCCTTCCTGCAGAGTTCGGAGCTTCTGCTCTTTCTGTGCAGTTCTTGGAAAAGGTGACCCGGGAGGAGGGTGTCAGGGGCGGGAGACGGAGGATGTGGCTGGAAGAGCCTGGCCCAGGGGGGAGGGGACGGGAAGTCTCTGTCTGTCCCACTACTAACGCTGTTGTAGAAACAACCACGTATTGAGCCACGACTGTGGGCTTCGCTTTGCGTGGTGACCATGAAAGTTCACAGTTACCGTGAACCCTCTCAGCGAATCCAACAGCTCTACCAGACGGAGGCCGGAGGATGGCCCACTCCCTCGCAGAAGGGGATACTGAGGCAGGAGAGATTAAGTGTCCCACCCAGGGTCCTGAGGCACGGCAGCAGTGGACAGGGATTCGAAGCCAGGCCTGGGTGACAGCGGAGACCCCCCTCTCCACCCCTCCCCAGTCTTACCCGCCTCAAATTGGAGCTCTGGCCCTGCCCTCCCTCCCCAGAGCCCCCCATCATGGTTCCCCATTGCTCTCACCAGCAAGTCGTTCCTGCTCTGCTTGGCATTCAACACCCCCATGATCTGCTCCCAGTTCTCATGGCCCCTCTCCCCCTTTTCTCCTTAACCAGCCCAGAAGCCGCCCCCAAGCCAAGTGCCAAGTCTATCTATGGTGAGCTTGGGAGCAAAAAACCCCAGGCTGAAACTGGGTCTGAGGGAGGAGGGGCTGGGGGGTCTGGATTCCCGGGTCTGCGGGAGGAGGGGCCGGGGGCTGGGTCTTCTGGGTTTATGCCCCTCCTCCCCCGCAGAGCAGAGGAAGCGTTATTCCACTGTGGTTATGGCAGACGTTTCCCAGTATCCAGTCAATGTGAGTCTGGGGTCCCCCTTGCCACAGGGAGCCTTATGGGAGGAAAGGCAGGCAGGCCTGGGAAGAGGGTGGTGTTGAAGGCAGTTGGGTCTCCAAACAGAAAGAAGCTGGAAACTCATTTTGCTCATCTGCAAGATGGGCTGCATCTGCATGCCTTCGCTCAGAAGTGGGAATTCAGGGGAGGAAGCCAGTTCCACTTGACCCTGCCAGGGTCTTCCTCCAGACCAGCTCTTAGGCTGGGCCAGGCCACAGGGACAGGCGTTCTGTAAACCCGTATGAGTAGGGGTCAGAGTCGGCCAGGTGCTTAGCAGGCCTTCCAGAAGCCTCCAGTCTCGCTGGGAAGACAGGCGCGGGTGCTCGTGGCTCTGATGGAAACAGAAGAGAGGGCACGGGCGGAGCGCCCCGGAGGTGGAGCGGGCGCTGGGGAGGCTTTCTGGAGGCGGTGTGGGGCGCCCGGGACGGCACGGCCGTGCAGGGGGCTCGGACCCACCTGGCGCCGCCTGGGGCTCACGGCCCGCGCGCCGCCAGCACCTGGTGACGTTCTGCCTGGGGGAGGAGGACGGCGTGCACACCGTGGAGGACGCCTCGCGGCGGCTGGCCCTCATGGACCGCCAGGGCCGCGTCTGGGCGCAGGACATGCTGCTGCGCGTGTCTCCGGACCACGTCACGCTGCTCGACCCCACGTCCAAGGTGCCGGGGGCCACGTGGGTGGCGCAAGCGGCGGGCCTGAGCGGGCGGAGGCCTGGCGAGCTTGACTCCGGGCCCCTGCGCGCCCTTCCCCTTCCCCGGGGAACTTTGGCCAGAGCTCTCTGCCCTTTATTTGGCTCCTCTGTTAAATCGGGGGGCGGGGGGGGGGGTACCGTGGCCCCGCAGGGTCGCCTGTGCAGTGCTGGGGTCCCAGCCGGCACTGCTGTCGCCTTTGGGATCCTCGGGTCCGAGCGCAGTTTCCCCGCCGTCCCACCCCGCAGGAGGAACTGGAGTCCTACCCGCTGGGTGCCATCGTGCGCTGCGACGCGGTGGCGCTGCCGGGCCGGAGCCGCTCGCTGCTGCTGCTCGTGTGCCAGGAGCCGGAGCGCGCGCAGCCCGACGTGCACTTCTTCCAGGGCCTGCGGCTAGCGGTGAGCCGGCCGGGCGGGGGAGCCCCCGCGGTCCCGGGGGCGGGGCGGGGCGGCGCCTCTGCAGTGGGGCGGCCGGGATAGAGGCGGGGTCAGGACCAGTGAAGAGGGCGTGGCCCGGAAGAAGTTCTGGAAGGGAGGGGGGTTTGAGGACAGGTGGGACCAGGTCCAGGTAGAATGTCGAGGGCCGTGACAGCACGAGGCGGGGGCTGGGAACAGCCGGAACTAGAGGGGAGTATGGCCTGGGGGGGGGGGGGGCAGGAAACACCACCACCTGGGCTCCGGGGTTCGCGGGGGCAGGGAGGGGGTAGGGAGAAGGTGCGAGCTCAGAGCGCGGACGCGCATGGCCACCGCGTGTGAACGCCCCCAGCCAAGGAATCTGATGACCGTGGTGGGGACAAGGGGCGGGGCGGGGGGGTAGAGGCCTGGCCTGACCGCACGCTTGGCAGGCGGAGCTGATCCGAGAGGACATCCAGGGCGCTCTGCACTACTACCGGTCCGGCCGCGGGGAGCGCAGGACCGCAGCGCTCAGGTAAGAAGCAGGGCTGGGCGGGAAGCGAGGGGAGAAGAGAGGGCGGGTGAGGCCTCAGTCTCCGCATCCGACAAATGGGCTGATACCACTGGCCTAGAACTGAACGACTTAGGAAGTCAGTCGAACACAGCCTGGTTCAGGTCTTGCCATACCCGCCAGACAAGCGTACCCCTTCTCCAAGACTACTTCTCCTAGGGCTGGTCCTCGGCTTCTCTTCCCTCTGCAGAGGTGCTCGCCCCTCCCCATGTTTCCGATTTCCCCCCACCACCTGCAGCCTAGGTTTCACTCGGTTGCGGACTTTCCCCCCTGCCCTGTCCCCTGGTGGACGCAGCTGTTTCCCCGTGTCCCCCGGCAGGGCTACGCGAGAGGAGCTGCAGCGCCGCCCCTCGCCGGCCGCCGAGACCCCTCCATTGCAGCGCCGCCCGTCGATCCGCGCGGTCATCAGCACGGGGGAGGCGGGCCGGGGGCGACCCCAGGCCGAGCCCATCCCGGAGGTGGAAGAGCCCCCGAGGCCGCGGCCCGGCCTGGCGGGGACCTCAGGCAGCGCTGTCCCGGCCTCCCCAGATCTGGGCCCCCGGGGCCAGGACCTGGCCGGTCTGCAGGCAGAGCGGGAAGTGGTGCGTGGAGCGGGCTAGGGCACGGAGGCGGGGCTGGCTGTGGGGTGTGCCCTACCTCTGGGGAGGCTCGGAGAGGGGTGGTGTCCGACTTCTGGGGGTGTGGCCGGCGGTGACTGAAATAAGGGTAGAGGGACAGGCGTCCGAGGGCGTCGGCTGGCGTGGGAGGACGTCAGGGCACTGGGCCTAAGGACTGGGGTGATGAGGGGCCAGGACTCCGCCTCCCAGAGTCCCCTGCATCCCCTGCATCCCCTGCATCCCCTGCATCCCCTGCATCCCCTGCATCCCCTGCATCCCCTGCATCCCCTGCTCTGTTCCCCCAGGACATCCTCAACCACTTGTTCGACGACGTGGAGAGTTTTGTATCGAAGCTGCAGAAGTCTGCGGAGGCAGCCCGGGTGCTGGAGCATAGGGAGCGCGGCCGCAGGACCCGGCGGCGGGTGGCGGGGGGTGAGGGGCGCCCCCCAGTGGGATCCGGAGCACCCAGTCCCTCCCAAATACCTTCCCTCTCCTTACGGCTTCCCTCCACCAGGTTTGACCCCCCCCTCACTGGGTCTTTCTCTATCCCTGCCCCGCCTGCCCCCCCGCCTGCCCCCCAGTGGGATCCGGAGCACCCAGTCCCTCCCAAATACCTTCCCTCTCCTTACGGCTTCCCTCCACCAGGTTTGACCCCCCCCTCACTGGGTCTTTCTCTATCCCTGCCCCGCCTGCCCCCCCGCCTGCCCCCCCACGTGCAGAGGGCCTCCTGACGCTGCGGGCCAAGCCGCCCTCCGAGGGCAAGTACACGGACGTGCTTCAGAAAATCAAGTACGCCTTCAGCCTGCTGGTGAGAACGCGTCCGGGCCGGGCCGTCAGAGGGCAGGGGGGGCGAGCCTGACGTGCCCACGCACTGAACCCCGCGCGCGTCGCGTCGCGTCCCCGCGCACTGCACCCCGCGCGCGTCGCGTCCCCGCGC